AGGAAGAGGAAGAAAATGCAACTGTTGGTGTTTTGAACTAGCTGATATTGTTTGGAAAAAAAACGAAACGACGATAGAATTCCAAGAGCTACGTCACACTGCGCAGTGATTCCTATGTCCGTGTCCGGCAGCTGTCCCTTCCTCGGCTAAAGAAAAGCCCCCGTCTATAAGATCAACACTGTAACAGATGTGCCCTGGAGGGCAAAGGGCAACACAGGGGTGGAGGTTGAAATGGGGAGAGCCTGCCTGGAAGCTGCAAGATGTCGCCGGTCAGAGACGACACACACAAACGGCTGGCTGCTCCTTGAGGAAGACTTCTCCACGGGGGGGGGGGGGGGGGCAAGAGAATTAGCATTATTGATTACGGCTCTAATTCCTTAAATCTGCCATCAAAGCAGCTTGACTTGATTTAGGTTTTTTCAAGCTTTTTGTGAAATGGATAACTAGCTAGTTTTTTTGGGGGGCGGCTAACGTTGTTATGTTTAGGTTAAAATAATCATTTTGTTTTACTTTTGTATCCTTTATGTGTTTTTTTCTGCACTTTTGTTGGTTATATTCTCATTTATAAGGTACATTAAATTCAGCCTTCAGAAGCTAACCAGCTAATTAACCTAATATAAACCTTTTTGGTTTGATCTGACCATTAGCTTTTCATGCTACATAACATTTTATTGTCATTTGGCTAACTTTCAAATCCCTGTCTTATCAGTTAGTTATCTCCGTCTACCGTTTAGCTGTTTTTCTTGGCTAACTTTTTAAACATTTAGACGTCCTTTCTCCCATTCTTGGCATTTAAAAATGCTTTTGGCAGAAGTTGTAGTTCTGGCTGTCTAGTAGTTTCTTTGTCTAGTGAGTAAATTTCATCTTTTAGCTAACCTTCTAATTTCTTAGTTTTAAGCTATGTTGAATTAACTTCAAATATATATGTATTAACTATTTTTAGCTTTAATTTTTTCTTCTGTAAAGTTAGCATTCAGAATTTATGTGACATAAATGGGCTAAATGCGCAGCTATTTTTACTGCTAATCTGGCTAGCCTTTCCCTGGACAACTTCTAGCGTTTTCTTCTTATCTGGTGGGACACCTGTTAGCTCACACTGATCTAATCTTCGAAATCACTACGATACAGATCATGAGCATCTAACATTGTTAACGTAACTTGGTCTTTACAACAAATATCAAGGCATTGTGGGTGCTAGCGGAATCAGGTTGAGCAATTTCCACTACTTGCGTAAGCTAGCTATACTTCAAATGTCAAGTCCTGAACATGAGTTGTTTCATTTTGTATTTTTTTTTTTTTTTTTTTTTTTTTTTTGTTTTTTTTTTTTTTTTTTCTTCAAAGACAGGCCATGGAATTTGCGCTTTCATTTCAGGATATGACATTGTTTAAGTTTGCCATCCAGACAGCGCGCTATTGTCATGCTAAGAGGCAGACTTCAGTCTCAAAAAAAAAAAAAGAAAAAAAAAAAAGAAAATTGGTTAATGGTTTTGATGGAACACCCGGGTGGGATCAACAGAAGACATGTCCAGGCCATGTGCACGTGGCTGTGGAGCAGGTGGGTGACGGGCAGCTGAGTAGTGGGCTCTTCTCCAACGGGGGGAGGGGGGATAGACAGGAGTGGGGGGGGCGACCATTTTTGAGAACCCTTGGGGATAAGTGAGAATGGAAGAGGCCAAATAAGTGTGTCTAAAGGTTAGCCATAGAATTAGCGAAACTCTACGTAGATTGACTGAAACATTTGCAAATAATAAAAATAACAAAAGCCACGTGTAGGTGTGCAATGAAAAAAATGAACACTGAACACAAAAATGGAAAAACTATCCGAAGACATGGCGTAAATTAAATGGACTAAATTTAATATTTCAATATCAAGGTGATACGATGTTATTAGCCGTAATCGGCTAAATGCTAAATGACTAGCGTTAATTAAATATTTAAAAAATAGGTAAATTGAGCGAGACTAGCCCAGATAAGTAACCGATTTTACAATTTTTCAAATAATTGCTGAAGGTCTCGCAAAGAAGGACATATAAAGATCTAAAACGGTAGCTTTTAAAACGGCTAAAAACCTGAAATATTTGTGGCAAAGTATGTACATCCTGTTGCTTGCTTTTACCAAAATTTATAAATTCTACACTCAACCAAATCTGAGACCAAATATAAAAATAGATTATAAACAGAAAAAAAAAACCCTTCAAAGAATGATTTCTTCAGAGTAGCAGGTGGATAACCGAGCAGCTGAGGAGTGGGCTCCAGGGGTAGAGGGAGGTTAGCAAAGGATATGGGGGTTGGTGGTGGAGGGGAGGGGGCATTCACTTTGGAGGACCCATGGGGTTGATAGGGAGAAACCCTGATAAAAAAAAAAAAAAAAAAAAAAAAAAAAAAGGGCAACCCCCTTTAACCCCATCTGGAGGTGAGGTAGGGGTTTTGGTGTGAAAGGGATCTAGTGGGTGGTGTCTGACACGCTCTCTTTTGTTCTTGGGTAACGCAGCAGTA